GTTAATTCAATAAGGCTATTCTTAAGCTTTTAATATTTTGTATGCAACTAAGCATGCACTTAATCACCAATTGCGAAGTGTACTTACTTATGAATATGAATAATTATACGAATATTAATTAACATAGAAATGTCGTTTTATTGGTAACAATTTACAATGCAGTTCAATTTGTTAGCATTAAAGAAGAATATTTATACAGCATTCATGAATCTTAATTTCTATGTATACTAATACATTTTTAACCTTTCAAGTTATATAAACTGACATTGTTTACCACTGTATTGGATATCCAATGTAAAATCTGCATCCTGAAGCACTGACCTAGAGCTCAGAAATGCACTGGCTCTTGATGAGTATCAGATTGATGTTATATAGTGAAATTAGGACGTGCACATAACAAACAAAGCACTCCAAACTGAAGAAAATCTAACTCAAAGAGCTACTGAGGGATTATGGGAAATAGCATCTATCAGGCCAGAGTGCCAACAGGATTGGGACTGCGCACACACACACACAGAGAGAGAGAGACACACTGAGTCGTGCCGCGTGTCTAATCCCGAACACTAGACGATTCCCCAAGGAGGTGAGACTTCAAAAAGGATCCCGCCCACAGCTACAGAGATAAAGCACCCTACAATTTTCAATTAACCAGTCTTTTTCATGTTTCATTGCGTTCTCTTGGGTTTGTTTGTCTTGTTTGCTTCAAATTCCATTCTTTCCGTCATTCCTCTCGCTATCTGCCAGGGCAAAGGTACCCACACACGCAGAAACGAACGCACATTGCCTTCTTCACGCTGTGAGGCTCATATCAAGCTCCGAGTTACGGCCCCTTAGCGTAACGATGACAAATAACAATAACAGCCTGCATCAGAGCGTTTGCATCCTGGCTTCAGGCTACAGGCCCGAAATACTCACCGTCGACTTCTAGCTGTGCGTGTCTGTCAATAACATCTACAGAAACCCCCACAGAAAATGCTTCTCCCTGGCAAGTTGCGCAAGTATATGCCTCGGGCCGTGCTTTCCGTGGACTGGGAAAGGTCTGATATTAAACGAAATTTGAAAAAGAAAGTAAAAAGGAGTCAACAACTCATCTACATGTTGGCTGAAGATGGGAGGTGATATCCCAAGCGCACCTTTGATGACAAGGCCGAATCGAGAGGCAAAGAGAAGTGCTGACAGACAGCTACCGACACACTGAAGTGAGCAATCGCTCGAGGGCCTTCATCACGAAAAGCACCGGATGAGTGACAAGGTGGAAGCCTGCTGGAAAAACGAGCGCTTCTTATATAATTCATGTATGAGCGCTTATACGGGAGCAAGAGCGCGAACATGATCTTTCATATTAGTGAGGCGTTAAAACTCCTAATTGCCCTGTTGAAACTCATTGGGTGACATTAAAGACATAAAAGAGAAAAAAAAGGCCAATGAGGCATCTACTTGATCGTCTCGAGTAAAACACCACTGATTTGCATATTAATTGTGATGCAGGAAGTGGAGACCAGCGGCGATGCGAGATCCAGCATCCTTCAAACTCCCCATCCGCATAAGTGATGTGTTCATTACCTGCATTACCTCTGTATGAAAGAAAACAGGAACTTCTCAGTGATATGCAGGTTGAAATACGATGACAAGGCCGAATCGAGAGGCAAAGAGAAGTGCTGACAGACAGCTACCGACACACTGAAGTGAGCAATCGCTCGAGGGCCTTCATCACGAAAAGCACCGGATGAGTGACAAGGTGGAAGCCTGCTGGAAAAACGAGCGCTTCTTATATAATTCATGTATGAGCGCTTATACGGGAGCAAGAGCGCGAACATGATCTTTCATATTAGTGAGGCGTTAAAACTCCTAATTGCCCTGTTGAAACTCATTGGGTGACATTAAAGACATAAAAGAGAAAAAAAAGGCCAATGAGGCATCTACTTGATCGTCTCGAGTAAAACACCACTGATTTGCATATTAATTGTGATGCAGGAAGTGGAGAACAGCGGCGATGCGAGATCCAGCATCCTTCAAACTCCCCATCCGCATAAGTGATGTTCATTACCTGCATTACCTCTGTATGAAAGAAAACAGGAACTTCTCAGTGATATGCAGGTTGAAATATGTTGTGTTGGAGTTTACCTGGAATACAGTCAAACTCCAAATAACCATCAAGTTCCACTGTGGAGCAGCAGTATTTGATGGTGAGAAAACTTGGTTTTCCTGTTTAAAAGCAAGGAGTAATGAAAAAAGTGACCACCTAAAACAAATCCCATGAATCTACAAAACAAACAAAAATCGACTTCAAACGTTATTTAGGGGTCTGTACTCTTTGTGGACTGAGACACAGGACAGGACTGTTACATATTGCATAAAAGTGTGGCCTGTAATAAAATGAGTTAGTACCATATTAATGTATTTACACATTTTAAAATACTTGCTATGCCATTAAAATCATAACGTTTGATTATTACTGGTGCATAATAAAAATGAAACATTTAGCTGAAATTTTGCTTAGGTTTACATTTAATAAAAATGCACTGTATTAATGCATTATGCTTTACAATTCTTACAAAGTCACTAAAATACACATTTCTGATTATTAACTTTTAATGCATGTTTTTCTCACAAAAATCAGTTTGAGATCAAACAATAACTGCTGATGACCATATACTAAAAACTCAAGGTAAATTGTACAAAACAATTGCCTTATTCAAAATATATTACTGATAAATTTGACTTGTATGAAAACAAAAAAAGATCTAATTGAATTAATAAAAAATCCAATAATAAAATCAATGTGCACGCTTTTGTTTATTAGTAATGTATACACTTTATGATGCTTGCAAAGCCAATAAAACAATCACTTTCATTATTATTTGTGCATATTATTTATGTTTTTTTGTTGTTTTTATTGCGGGAGGAACAATTACACTTTTCATGAACTTCAGTTTAGGTTGAAGTTAACTTATTTTTAACCTTGTTAAAGACCCCTGGTATATTGTACAAAAACATCGCCTTGATGAAAATGTATTACTATTTATTATTATTATTACGAATTAAAAAAAAATTATAATAAATTGTCCAAAAAAGTCAATTAGGAAGCTTTTTCTGACTCTAATCTACTTTACGACCTTGTGCTATTTATTTAGAGATTGGTGGAAACTCAAAAACTCAAGGTAAATTGTACAAAACAATTGCCTTATTCAAAATATATTACTGATAAATTTGACTTGTATGAAAACAAAAAAAAGATCTAATTGAATTAATAAAAAATCCAATAATAAAATCAATGTGCACGCTTTTGTTTATTAGTAATGTATACACTTTATGATGCTTGCAAAGCCAATAAAACAATCACTTTCATTATTATTTGTGCATATTATTTATTATGTTTTTTTGTTGTTTTTATTGCGGGAGGAACAATTACACTTTTCATGAACTTCCGTTTAGGTTGAAGTTAACTTATTTTTAACCTTGTTAAAGACCCCTGGTATATTGTACAAAACCATCGCCTTGATGAAAATGTATTACTATTTATTATTATTATTACGAATTTAAAAAAATAAAAATAATTGTCCAAAAAAGTCAATTAGGAAGCTTTTTCTGACTCTAATCTACTTTACGACCTTGTGCTATTTATTTAGAGATTGGTGGAAACTCAAACTCTTCAATGCTTTTATCAAAAATGATATTCAACACTTCAGTGCCAAAACATAAGTTTACAGTTTCACACACCACGGCAGAAACAAGACTCGGTAAACACTGAGATCAGACGTCACCTAAAAAAGCCACCTAATGCATTCTGAGCTGGAACGGAGAGCTTTAAAACTCAAACATGCTCTATCAAACTGGACTTCAAAAGCCCTGCCGCTCATGTTAAAATATTCCCTCTCACGAGAAAAGCCTTTGCATGTTCACAAGGTCCTCTGCAGTCAGCAGACATTCCAAACACTCACGGTCTCCATGGTTTCGGTCCGTAACAGCTGTCAATCAAAGTGCACTGGAGAAGGAAGAGGTTGCTTTGGGACACGAGGCCTAGAGTTCATACGGGGAGAACATGCATTATGCATTACAGCAATAGGGAGAACACCTGAGGAGAAGCAGTAGGACATAGTGTGAATAAGGCATGATCCTGATGCACTGCAGTCTGGCTACAGAGGAAAGGACCTCAAGAGGAACGACAAAACTGCTCCACACTGCAGGAGACTAAAAGCATATAATGGGTACATCTATAGTATATTCACACAGATGTCTACAGACGTTCATATTTCAGAACTGTGCAAGTATTGGAGAATCTCTAAGGCAAAGTTCTCAAGGTGTTGAGATCATAAAGGAAAAGAAGAAACACTATAAACATAAAAACAACTTGAAGGACCATTCAGGTGTTTTCTTATAGTGGAAAAAAATTCTTCAGATTATTAAAATGGTTCCTTTAAGAACTGTTCACTGAAAGGTTCTTTGGTGAACCCAAAATTATTCTTCTATTAAACTGCTACGAAACCCCTCTTTTGGAAACTGTATTTTTAAAAGTAGGACATCCAGGCATGCTTTCAAATAATGCCGTTTTCTGAAGAACTTACAAAAAGGAACCCATAATTTCCTAACAAGTTCCCAAAAGACTGTTTATGACTTCCTCAGTAATCCAATCATAAGCGAACTGGTTTGTGGCACTTGAAATATACTGTAAACAGCTTTTGAAACGCCTTCTAATGTGCTCATGCAATTCAAACAGTAACATCTAAGGGTCATAGGTTCAGTTCCAAGGCTGAATGCAATTCAAAATGACTTGGATAAAAGCGTTCATCCAATGCATTAATGAAAATGTAAACAAAAGGTGTTTTTTCAGTTTTACAGCAAATATAAAACAGAGGGAAGGCAACATGTTGGGTGGCAAGAAAACTTTAAAGCACCTACCTAACCAAGTCCAATCAAATTAAGTGGCTGTATGCACACAAATGTTGAAAAACCTTTACTTATATGCTAAAAAATAAAATACAAAACTGGTCTAAAACAGCCTAGCTATCATCCAATGCCTCCAAAACCCAGTCATTGCCGATTTCTGCATTGCTGTGAATCTCAACTTCATGCACCTGGAGTAAGAAGAGCACTTCAATGAGATGGACAAAGTAAGCCAGGCATGAGTAGAAGTAAGTCCAGACAGTAAGAAGGAACTGTCAGCAATGTCAAAGCCTACACATATTATCCTTTCATTACCAGTACTCCTTCAAAGCCTCAGGTATGTCTCATGGCAACCAGGATGCGAGAGAGGACGGTGTATGCCCAGAGTCCAGACATTCCTCCTTTCACACTGACACTGGAGAAAAGCATGTTAGAGACAAGAGCACAATACACCCAACACACATACGAAAGGCTAAGAAAAGTATAGTTACAGGTAAAGCAAAAGTTCCAAATCCCTAGCAGCAGCTTCACACACTTTGGACAATTTGCGATTGTTATAGTGAAGCTTGGATCTTATTTAAGTTTAAATTGGATCACAGAAAACACACAAGTCTATGGATCCTCGATTAACTCAGTCCTGAAATGATAGATTTAATCTTAAAATAAATTGTCTAATTTCTTTGCTTAGAAAGACATCATATGATGACTTACTATTCAGGCAGCATTTCAAAACATTACAGGCACTCCAGATGCAAAATTCATTGTGGGAAAGGCAATACCAAAATGCATTGTGACAGATACAGTGATTATCAACTTATCAAAAAATTAAGCAGCCGGGTCCAGAAAATTGTTTTTTTTCCAAGGCGAGTAACACCTTAAAATACTATAAAACAGCAATTTACAAACCTATATAAGGCTTTTAAGTTTCTTTAGGTAAAAACTCTAAAATGGGTTAAGGTTTCATTTCCGTAAAAGACAAAAACATAACTCATTTTTGTGCATGCATATGTCCCTTCTTCAAAGTCAGTATATCTATGGGTTTTTTTCCATCCGATTTATAATCCACTAGGCAAAAACCCCAACCGAAGTATCAATTACTTCCAAAGTGCAACCAAAGTTTAATACATGAGGTTAGGGATTTTAAAAAATCCTTAACCCTAAGTATGAGCAACAGTAATAGTGATGCTTACCTTAGCATATCTTCAAGCTGAAATGGGGACAAAAAATTAAGTAAAACCCCCCAAAACTTGAGTTTGACATGTGCGGTGTTTATTTGAACAATTCTGTTACCAAATCTCTATTAAATATACATCTCTCATTCGAGTTCAAAGCATCAGAGGAGACAGCTAAACCCCAGCATTTACAAGCACTTCTGGACGCCCCGTGTCCCGTCCCGTTAAGGCCCCCCCAGGCATTTGGCTTTCTCTTGGACTGACCGGACAGAACGAAAACACAAGGGACAAAGCAAGCGAGAGTGTCTCCACAGCGATAGCGTGACTGTAAAGCGCAGGATATGAGAAACGCTGGACGGTCGCTCCAGCTCATGAAGAAGATTAGATTTAGATGGGGTTAGAAACCATAATAGAAGCCATCCAGCCTTAAGTGTTACCGCCAGGAGACAAGAATCATAAATTACAGTCCAAAGGATTTTTTTTTTTTTACATTGTTCATATAAAGGTTATTTTTAAAAAAATACACTTCTATGACTCCTACGCAACCGTTTTGAAGGTCTGCAGTATCAAGTTGGTTTGGTGGATGAGCCGGTTGGCACTGGCAAACACGTTTATTGCCCTGGAACAAAGGCAGAGAGGGAAGGAATACAAATTAGATTAATTTTACAAATGAAAGTACAAATGTTATGCAGTGAAATGTCAGGGTTCTTCAGGCAAAGAGTTGGTTTAGGTTAACACTTAATTCAAAATGAGCAGAAAATTGCCAAAATGTTCTGTGTGTGGGTGAAATAATTTCCAAAAGATGGAAGGACTAAAAAGTACACAAATTATGAGTTCATAAACTATTATCATTTTTGCCTCTGCTCTAAAATGATTCTAACTTTTAAAGTTGTGTAACGATAATATGCACTATTGTTCAAAAGTTTGTGGTCAGTAAGATTTAAAGATGCATTAAATTGTCAAAAGTGTGACCTTTATAATGTTACTGCAGTTCTATTTTATAAATGCAGATCTACTGTATCTATTCATCAAAGAATCCTGGAAAAAATTGATCAGTTTCCACAAAAATATGAAGCAGCACAACTGGTTTTAACCAAGAAATGTTGCTTGAGCCGCAAATAAGTAAATTAGAATGATTTCTGGAGGATCATGTGACACTGAAGACTGGAGTAATGATGCTGAAAATTCAGCTTTGAATAAATCACAGGAATAAATTACATTTTAAAATATCTTATCTTTATAGTTTTTAAAATTGCAATAACATTTCACAATATTAAGGCAAAAAAAAAAAAAAAAAAAAAGTGAAATTTCATCCCAAAAATATTTTTTTTTAAAAAGAAGAAAAATGAATACAAAATCCTACTGCAAGGCTTCATTACCTATTTTTCTTTTGGTTAGGGGGTGAAATAAAAACCAGACGTTTCTTCAAATATTAAATATATACTTCACAAAGAAACTCGGTCAGGGCAAGTGCACACGTAAAAACTGACGTAATGAAACGCAAGCCATAATGCAAAAGGGGAATTTTTGGTTAGTATTCGTGTGTGATTGTGGGGCATAATAACGTTCTCACTTGATTGTCTGCAGGAAACGGACTCGGTCGTTGATTTCATCAGGGATTTTGCTGAGGATCTGTTTCAGAGCGCGAGCTCTTTCATTCAGGTCCTGGAACTCCCGCTCAGGCCTGTCAATCATGTACTCTGCACACAAAGAACACACCCACAGGAAACGCTCAGTCACCACGGCAACAACAGATGACTTGCCTCTAATAACCTGTCATTAAAATGTGATGCACTTAGACATAATGATACTTGACTACTTTTAATGGCCAATCGTGATTGACAAGACAACCATCTGAAAAACCGCAATACGTTCCATTGAACAAAAGTACAGAAACTTCTATATTATTCTGTAAAACACAGTCAGGCAACTGAGCGTATACAAGGATAGATTACAGTAGGAAGAGCAAAGCGAGGATTTTACAATGGGCTTGGATTCAATTTGGAAGTACATTTATTATTCTTTACATTTCAAATAAACACAAACGAGCATTACCCGGAAACCCGGTGCGTGTCTGCGCATTCATTAGCGGTATAAATCTGAACGTGTCAAAAACACTTGCAAAAAGCACAGAATTAAATTATGAGGGAAAATACATTATTGTTATTACTGGGGTTTAATTCATGAGGAAACAGCTCCCCCTAGAGGCGCGAGGCTGCATGGGTAACAACACTTTGCATTGCAAACCATACACAACGTTCCTCTGCTCTACAAAAACATGGAAAATCATACACACCCTCAACATCGTCGGCAGCCATGCGTAATAAAGACTCGGTGAAGTTGATCTCCACGTTCTTCTTCTCCAGAATCTTCATGATAATATCCTGAGTCAGTCCTGGGTTCTCCTTCTCTGCCTGACGTCAACAAATCAAGAGCACAAGTCAGTCCAACGCAACCACAAATAAAGCTTACAGCATTTCTGATATTTTAAAAATTTATTCATTTTAGAAATGTGCTGAATTATGAAAACGACATAAAAATTCTCATATCTTCACGCTTGAGACATCATTTCATTTTATTATATATTGACTTTTAATCAATATTGTATGTATATTACTACCATTAGGAAAAGATCAATGAAAATGTCAAAGTGCTTTCATTTCGATTCTAAAATTATGATTTATATGACTGTTACACAACAGTATTACAAAGCCATGAGCGGAAATGGGGCTGCTGAGACAGCAAGAACGTGGAAAAACTATAATTTTCTTGCTGAAATCTCATGGTAAGTGAGATATTTCAGGAAAGATGGAGAAAAGAAAAACCCAGAAGACTCTGAATCAAAACTGAAACTGCACTTTTGTAGCATCCTTTTTCTCCACTTATAATGTTAGTCAAGGTTTTCATGATCAACCAAAAACAGTTACTCCTAACTAACTTTCTCTGGTCCTTATAATTAAAATGGCTGTTCTGTCAGGACCACTATCGTCAAAGATGATTGACAATTAGCATACAGTTTGGATTGCCGGTATCTGGGCAAGAACTCCCTGCGCATCTATGCAGCCTAGCATGGATGAGAGCAGGGAGAGCAGCGATAACCCCCCCAGGGTAAACAGAACAGAACCAACATAAATGTATTGCAGATATCGTTAAGTTCAATAATGCTATGTACACATTTTAGAATTAGTCTGATTCAAAGGAGAATCAGAAGGCTGAATCCTGACTGACAGAGGAGGAGTTGGGGATGGAGGAGGGTAATTAGCTATTGAGCAATGCAAAAACTGCTGATACTACTGCAGGACCTTATATATGAATACTTAGATGGGTGTCGTATTCCCATAGGTTGATGGGGATCAGCTGTGAGTCAGCTGATGTGAGCTTGACTAACGTGACCTGCCAGAACTGACGCTACGCTTGATTTTTGTTACCGTATGTTTAAAATGTCATCTTTATGTGCAAATGGCCTCTGTTATGATCATGTGCATCAGGATAGGCCAAGTTGCTGAATATGAAATGTAAAATTAGCCGTCATATGCGAATGCTTTAAAAATATGTCAATCAAATGCAATTAACAAAAGACCCTCCTTTGCAGTTTAGATTCCACCTTTAGTTTTTGCCTTTAGAACTCTTCTTCCAAGAGGGCAAAGAAAACAAAAACCACTGCCTATATACTGACTAATATTATTTTCGAGGCCCTGGTGACATCTGCAGAAAAGGAAAGTCGCTTTAGAGGTGGAGAATGTTACTACATTATGATAAAAGATTATGAATACATATTCTTTCTTCGGAATAACATGCACTGACGAATCAAGCACAAGTAAATGGGATCTATTTCGATTTCTACTTGATGTAGATGAAATTCGGATGGACTGAAGGTGATTAAAAAAAAAATCAAGATGAAGAAATGATAATGACTGAATCCCGTCATATTTACTCACCTTTATGAAAGCTGCTCTCAGAGTCTGTGCCGCAGACAGGTTTACTCTCTCCAGCTGTGACACACACAAAAGCCATTTTAATTTACTGCAAGATAAAGCAGGCTGTTTGCTTTTAGTGTTGCACACATTATACACAGTCATTATCACCACATTAAAATGAAAATATAGTTGGTTGTAGGTGTAGATTTTGCCTCTAATTAAACAAATGAATCCATAGAAGCACATGAAGGCTGTGTTAACCGTGCTCATCATATGCGAGTATGAAGATTAGTAATGTTACAAAAGATTTTAAAATAAAATGTTTCTTGAGCAGCAAATCAGTATATTAGAATGATTTGTGAAGGATCATGTGACACTGAAGACTGGAGTTATGATGCGTAAAATTCAGCTTTATATCACACGAATAAATTACATTTGAAAATATATTACAATGGAAAAACGTTATTTCACATTGTAATAATATTTCTCAATATTACTGTTTTTACTTTATTTTTAATCCAACAAATGCAGCCTTGGTGAGCATTAAAAGGCTTCTTGAAAAACACAAAAAAATCTTACCAACCCTACATTTTTGAAAAGTTGTGTAACAATCTAATAGCGAAATATAAATATTACAGATTATATTTTAAAAATAAGTGCATTTCTTAAAACTTGGACACAAAATAATATAAACCTAAAAGAAAAAAGTGATACCACCAAATATATGTGAAGTTACAAAACAAAGCAGCTAATTCATTGAAATACAATAATTTTGTAGGCCTAATTATCTCAGTCAGTCATACAACTACAACAAAAGCTTAAACATCACATCTTATATTATCAAAAAATATTTAAAAAACCAGCTACATGTAATTTTTTATATTTAATTTAAAACAATTATTTAGCTACAAAAAAAAAAGGCAAAATGTCACACAGGAACTTTACAGAACACTACCGAGAATCTTTTTTAACCTCTCAATAAATTAAAAGAACTGTACTAATGAAACTATTTCCTGAATAAATTAGTCACTTTAGAGGAGATAATTTTATTATTGCCTAATTTCGCTTGTGTCTACAACAATGCAAAAAAAAATATATATTTTTTTTTTTCGTTTTTACAAGGCCAAGTAAGCAAAGTTCCTTCTTTTAGTTATTAAACTTCCCAATGCTGATGCAATTCTCATATCATCGTGAAGCTACATTCAAGTGAATTACACTTGAATTCTCATCTTATGTTGGTTCTTAAATTAGGTTCTAAAAATGAAAGAGACATTTATATTTAAAAAAAAAAATTTTAATTAAAAAAATATTCAGAGATGTAGGCTAGGCCAGCCAGATAACAACTAAATAACAGAATCATAATCTGATAAAATTTTATCATTGTCTGATAAAATAATGTTATGGCAACCAGAACTCGTCATCTCAGTCTTCACCAGAGAGCAGTGTGACTACCTCAGAGCATGTGGGTGTGCATCATTTGCATCTGAACTTCAGTCTGTGTCAACACAACCATAACTGAACCAGGGACTGACCACCGTACCTCATTGAAGACAGGGTACATCACGGCGTAGAGCGTCATGGATACCATCGAGGTCGCGTCTGCTTCATTCTTCATCTCTTCCATTGTCATCCTCGTCAGGGTGCGGGAAGGGATGGGGGGAGCGTCATTCACTCCTTGGGGGGCTCGTGATGAGGGGGCCCAGACGACCGCTGAAAGGGAAACCAATGAGGAAGAGATTATAAAAGGGTAGAGGGATTTCATTTCACAGGTAAGGAAATGACATTTTCAACTTGCGTTCAAAAGGTAGACGTGATAGCCATGGGAAAGCGCCAAGTTTTCAGTGAGATTTAGGCGATTCAGGCCCCTCAAGATTAAAGGAATGAGACACGTGGCCAGCGCACGAAAAATAAAGGCTGTTTCCTGGACAGTGCGCCTTTGCCTTATGGTTAGATTCTGAATTAGCCTTTTTGGGTTGTACGGACCAAAGACAATACTGAGACATAATTAAATTCAACAGCAAATAAAGGCCCATTCACACAAAGAACACTAAAGAATTAGCATTAGGGCTGCATGATTAATCGAACGCGATTAATCGTGATTGTCATGCACATTTTGTCAGTAAAGCTGGTTCTGTGATTAGTAGTAAATTTACTACACAGAGCCATAGTTCTCTGACAAGCTATGCAAAATCGTGTTCATAATCGCAGACGATATAATCGTAGGATGATAAAATCGACGAAATCATTCGAGATAACGACAGCTGTTTGCATAACTTCTCAGTGAACTACAGCTCTGTGTAATAAATGCTGCTCCATCTGAGAGCACGTGAAAATACCATTTAAAAACATGTTTCTACTCCAAACTCACTTCATAACGTCAGTCGAGTGTTTGAAATAAATCCTTCTGTGAGATGATGTGGCTTCTTAAACAGAATAATTAAGGGACACAATATTTCATTGTATTCTAAGCAGTGATGAAGGCTATGTCGATTAGCATTTCATTATAGATATACTTTATTATGATGAAAATGATAATAATAAGAACTCAGGTAAACCATATATTGCCGTAGTCGTGTGTTTATTAGTCACGTTGAATCAATGAAACCAGTTAAATCTTCTGTTTATTCAGCTGCAGCGATTTCCTGGATTTCTTCTTTGGGGCATATTTGTGTTTTCAGCACAAGAGCACCCTCTGGCCTTCGGATGGAGATTTACTACTGATCACAGAACTGTGCTTCACTGAAAGATACACATGACAGTCGCAGCTTTTGCCTAATCACGATTTATTGCCTTTGCGATTTAATTTCGATGAATTGTGCAGCCCTAATTAGCATCCGCACCAACGTACGATAATCTTCTGTTTATTATAAGTATGTGCTGCAGTTTTGTACATGGATTCTGATTGGCTGTCAATTAAAAAAAAAGTTCTAAAAAAAAGACTCAATATCATTCCTCGGTGTCATTATCATTACAGTCTCATATCATTATCATTGTAATCTTGACAAAATCTAAAGGGCCTTTCGCACCGCTTTAGTTCCAGAACTAAATGTACAGTACTAAAGTACTGGGACAATTTTGCGCAAACTATTTCCCAGTACCATTTAAAGGGTTACATTCCCACCAACAGTGTGTTCTAGCAAGTGACGTAAGCCAGTCGACAGCGACGTCATTTGTCATTTCTGTTCAACAACAGAAACAAAGAAGAACAACATTAACAACAGGAGGATGGAGGACGCTGTGATCGGAGCTGTGTTTTGGTTGTGTCTCACGGGTTTCACAATAATGGACATGAAAAGTTGACGTATACGTAACGCGATTGAAAGAACGGAAAGGAGGACTAAGAATCTCCAACGACAACTGGCAGTGCTACATTTGCTACAAGTGCCTGCACTTCAGCGTCCGTCCATCTATCGCTGTTCTCCATACTTGCGAAATAAGTTGACACAATGTTTACAGTATGTTTACACAGCGTTTTAAATCATGGCGGGTGAGGGCGTTTTCATACGCGTTTGGCCAATCAAGGTCTACTTATGTCACGATTAGTACCAGTTGTGCTAGTTAGACCCTGCTCTGGAGTAGGAGCTAATTTGGTTCTCGAAAAATGCAGTCCGGTACTAAAATCGCACCCAGTTCCGGCGGTGCGAAAACGCCAAAAAGTGGGTAGTTCCACAATTAGTTCTGGTACTATGAAAAGGTTCCAGCAGTGCGAAAGGCCCTTAAGTCTCAAAGTTCCATTCTTGGTAGCTATTTTGTGATAGATGTAATACTGTGACAAGAATTTATACATTTGTGAATATTCATGTTACGCCCCATGGCTCGAAAAGTACGTAACAAAAATGGGGACACACAAGAAAGTGCAAATAATGCACAAAATTTATTAACAAAATAGAACTATACAGAAAAAAAAATGTAACATTAAACAGTCAGGAATCAGAAGTGTAAAGTTACGTGAATGCATGAAAGTGTAATGGACTGTAGTAAATATTTAGCATAACATTTCAAATGTCACAGGAACCTCCATTTTTGTAATTCCAACTTCAAATTTGAAATATAGTGATTTTAGATTCCAAAATATTTTGAAAATTTGATACATTTGTGACAGGAAAATTTCATCAAAAAAAGATTGTCACAGGAACCTCACTTTTTGTAATATACAAAATTGGGAACATACAATTTTAGATCGTAAAATATAAAAAATTGTACCGTACATTTTCTTTACAATATTATAAATAAAATTCAACAAATAAAGGCTTGTTTACACCAAGAATCATCCCAATGTATAATAATAAGGTATTGTAAGCATGCACTGCAGTTATGTTTTTTTCCGCTTTGAATGCTTGAGTGGATTCTGATTGCCTTTCATTGTTTTTAATCATTCATCAGCTGGGAAAAAATTTTAATGATTCCAATTATATATTTCCTCAGTTTAATTGTAGTCTAGGTTTCCTTGTTTGCATAGGATTAGAATGATTTCATTTTCAAACCTTTATAGTTACGATAATCTCTATAGCTTTGGTGTGAACAGGCCTCAAGTCCCCTTATTTCTTCTCAACATCCACAACAACATGCCAAAGTGTTTATTCCTTCACCCAACACGTGTGAAACAATAGCGCTTGTTGTTATCTGCAGAAGGTCACGGTTCCTCTCAAGCTACAAGGAACATTACAAACCATTGAAAGTGAGGCACGCTTATCTCAATGTCGTCGATTCAGACTAATGGACAGGAGGCCGTGAGTCATTCCCACCTGATCGGAAGGCCTTTGGCCCCGCGGTGGGAGGCAGCCTTATCTGGGTGGCATTCACAGGGATCGCTGTGACGTCGTCTCGTCACATAGAGCAGGATTATGGTTGGAAATACCAGCACTCCTCTTATAAAACACGGTTGCCAGGTTAGATATGCATTATAATGACTCACCTTTTTCCTCCTGACAAAGGCCAACTAACACCTGATTCCTGTAGTGTCTCTAGTCAGAGTCTGACCTTGGCACTGAAACGGGTAACGCCCTAATGCAGGTGAATCCTGAATTAAATCCACCTATACTACATTTTTACCTTATAATGCATAAAAGATTAATTAAGCTAGAGAAAGTGAATCAACATATTTAGTGTCAAGTGAGGGAAAGTTCTGCCAATTATTAAACCACATCATTATAAAATAATGCAGCTATGCATTACAATGGTATATTTTGGTTATTGCAGTGTTGTATTTCTGTTTGAGTAAATAGTACTTCTTTCAGAAATGTTTTCTCATTACATTGCTGTAACTACTACATAAATAACACCATCATGTAAGCCAGCTTGTTTGAAAAACACATCAGCTGACCACTAAAATCAGTTTTCATAAATAAATATAACCGATAAAGTCAGAACATGATGGTTTTTCAATCTGATGTTGACTAGCTGGAACAAATCAGGCTCGATACATATTACAGTTAAGAAGCAACACAATTATTCAGTAGTCATTCAACATAAATAATTGTCCTGCTCAACTTTTCAGTAAAGACACCAACAAAAACCTTAAAAATTGCAAGCATTTCTTCCACTCAAGATTCCAATCAAAGGACTGCTGTAGCTCTTTTGAATATTTTCCTTTCAGTGTGGAATCGCTCTCGCTCGCCAAAGACGGAAGTTTTCTGCATGACCAATCTAAAGAACGAGGGGCGGGGCTAGGTGTCGGTGAAAGCAAATCAGCGAATAGCGAGGAATGACGCGACGTCTGACATTTTGTAGTCCTCAAACGGTGCAAGACTGCTCGCAGAGGCTAGACAAAGAACTACAACTCCCAAACACCTCACGGCGTGCCGTGAAAAGACTGGCGTCTGTTTCGCCATATCGCAGTATTCATATGAATTTAAATTTATTTCTGTATTTTAAACGTTTCATTTAATGCAACAATATTAGTTTAATACAACATTAGCACGCGTAACATAACAAATAAAATACAAAATAACGGAAAAGAATGTCAAAAATAACGTCGATTTAAAGCCTGACCAATCAGAAGAAAAAAGGGGCTGGACTGCTTCTCATAATAAAGGTGTGTGAGGGCGCAGAGACGAGCAGGATTTAACATCAGCATCCCGGAGCATCAGCATCTCTCTGACATCTCACGGTAAGAGAAATCCACGCATCGTCTATTCATGTGATCCAAGTGACATCTATCCGTTATGTATTCTGCAAGTTTTATCATTCATGTTATATCTGGTACGATGGGTTTATTCTCTACAAGAGAGGGTGTGCAGATGTGAATGTCCTTTAAAAACAAGTGATGGTTCATTTTCCATTTAACCTCCGTGTTATGTTTTTTCTGCTCAAGTTTTACCTTCATAACAACATTTATTTAATTGTATTAGAGGCTTTTGCAGTTTTACATGAAATTCACACAAATATATTCTGCACAGAGCAATCTCATTTGGTAGAAATAACCAAAAACATCCACATAAAACCATCACAATGCTTGCTGAAGAAAATTCTGGATAATTCTGCTTTTTAATATTATTCATCCATTTGTCTTGATAAGTCTTGTTGGTTTTTCTTGGCTTTTTTTCTTAATTTTCTATTTTTAAACCCTGGATTCAATCAGTAAAATGTTTGTATTGAATGTGGATACCTGGGCGTATCTGGGATGCGTAAATCATCTCCTGCAAGAAAATCCTATTTCATGTTTCTGTAAATGAGACACACGGGGAGAGCAGAATGGAGGACGCACCTCCTTTCCAATCCACCCCCCCACCCCTCTCGCTACTGCTGGTGTAAAATAGCCGGCTTGTTCTGTGGGACGCATTCACGTGGTGATTAGGTGTGCTGGAGAGCATGTGTAATGTGGACTATATGAGAGAGAGAGAGACAGAGGAGGCCACTAAAGGAGAGGGGAGGGAAAATGAGGTGTTAAAGTGCAATCGGTTTGAGTAGGGAGGCAATGAAAGCGAGGGATCGATAGGAAGTTGGAATGGAAAGGTGCAAAGGAGTTGGAATGGAATTGCAGCACGTTTCAGGTCTACAACACACACACACACACATGTGAACTCCTTGGTGGTCACCTCCAATCAGTGCATATTGATTCCCAGATTGATTGCTGGTTTGCAGGCGTGCGTGCATGAGCCATTCATTTGAAAGCATGAATGACAGTGACCGTTCAAGTGCTTTCTCAAATGTATCGACACAGTTAGGCCCAATCCCAATTCTATTTTATACCCCTTCCCCTACCCCTCCGCCTACCCCTTCCCCTTGTCCCTTGAAACAGAGTGTCAAGGGGTAGGGGTGAAAATATTCCCCTAAGAATTGGGACACCACTAGGGATAGCCGATATCTTGACGTTTGCGATATACCGGTAAAAATTCTCCACACGATAAGAATTCGTCTTCCCGCGATATTAACGATTAAGTCTAGTTGTTGCAACTTTCATCTCTCGCTCTCTCTCTGCAATGTTTGAGAAAAGGGTTTAGCGATTTCTAATTATCGGGGGGACTAGCCCCCCTCAATGTGGAGATGGTGGATGATACGATTGTTTTAAAATAGGAATAGCAGGTTTTTGTGTCCAAACATTTGTATTTTATTTAATTTTTTATTTAATTTTGTTTTGTTTTGCATGGTGGATGATAAAATTGGTATAGCATGTTTTTGTGTCCAAACTATTTTTGTAAGACTATTTTATTTTATTTTCAAATTAATTCTTAAATTAATTTAAGTTCATTTGATTGATGCTTTGGCTGATGTTTTCTATTTTTGAGAACACTGGTGGATTAGTATGTGATTTTTGAAGAAGATTTTACTTTTTTTTTTTTATTATATTTTAAAGTTTACAAAACAATATAGCTTAAATGAGATGGCTCATTGTCAGATTTCAGCATTAGCAAGGCCGACATAAACCCAGGGATTTTTTCTGACTTAGTTGTGTCTTTCCGCTAACACTCATCTCTTGGCCTCAGGACTGCACAGATGGCATAAAGAGTATTAAAAACAGCTGCGTTCTCTCAAAGTCTGTGTCACTAAGTGTGCAGAATATATTGAACTTCACTGTTGCTCTCTGAACATGTTCCTTGAGCATCTGTGATGGCCTTTCTAAACATATGCAAAGCTCCTGGTATTGATCGCTGTTCAATTAACTTTGCTAAACGCTAAACGTGCCCTATAGCAGAAAGCAGACTGGGTCAGAACAACAGACCAACATGGACCAATTCATTCCCTGCTTCTGAGAAGATCATCAGATTCCATCCATAGTCATCAGTCGATTTGTGCAATACTAAGGAGATTCGCAGTTTGATGGGAAGCTAAAGCAGGACAGACAAAATTCACACTCCACTGTGTGGATGAATTGCAGAAGAGAAGATCACACTCATTTAATACTTATGTTTTTTTGTGTGTGTACAAGTGTATAAAATTAAGGCTGTTTTCCTTGAATTTAATATATTTATTCAAATTAATTGCTATGATATCCTTGAATAAATCGTCTAAATGTTATCAGTTTTTTAAGGTTGGCATGCAATTGTATCATACACTCTCAGAAAAAGGTACAAAAGCTGTCACTGGGTCAGTACCTTTTCAAAAGGTACACTTTTGTACCTTTTAGGTACTAATATGGACAAAGGTGTACCTTTTGAAAAGGTACATGCCCCAGTGACAGCTTTTGTACATTTTTAAAATAAGGTTATAATTAGGCTACATTTTATATTTTTTATTATATTTTTACAACATTCTTTTTAATTATTTTAAATAAGCTGAAGTGAACCCATACTTCTTTAGTAGTTTTATGTTTATTTTAAACATTTTATATATGTTTATTTATACAG